CTGCCTCGCAGGATGAGCAGTGATTTCTTCTCCTGTTTCTAACACCTACTGATACCTTCCAATATTTCTAAAGCTAATCTATATCACCTCGGTAAGCAGAAAAACAAGACAAAAAAGCCACTTGCGATTTTCCTTCAGGTTTTCTTTTTCCTTGAGCGAAAGGGAGAGAAAAAAGAGGTCTGAACATTTGGCTGAGAATCCTAAGTGAAAGGGGGACGACAGGACGGCCAGCTGCCACTATTTTAAAATCAGGAAATATGTGAGCTTTCTTGACTTCAGCAAAGGAAACAGCATTAAAATGGAACTTGAGGATTAAAGGAGGAAAAATAAATGCCTTTGAATAAAGCAAAACACTGGCATGCAAAGATAACACTTAATGAACATTCTGGTACATTATTCTTTTTGAATTATGGTTTTCTCAGGGTATATGCCCAGTAGTGGGATTGCTGGGTCGTATGGTAGTTCTCTTTGTAGTTTTTTAAGGAACCTCTATACTGTTCTCCATAGTGGCTGTATCAATTTACATTCCCACCAACAGTGCAAGAGGGTTCCCTTTTCTCCACACCCTCTCCAGCATTTGCTGTTTGTAGATTTTTTGATGATGGCCATTCTGACTGGTGTGAGGTGATACCGCATTGTAGTTTTGATTTGCATTTCTCTAATGATTAGTGATGTTGAGCATCCTTTCATGTATTTGTTGGCAATCTGTATATCTTCTTTGGAGCAGTGTCTATTTAGGTCTTCTGCCCATTTTTGGATCGGGTTGTTTGTTTTTTTGATATTGAGCTGCATGAGCTGCTTGTATATTTTGGAGATTAATCCTTTGTCAGTTGCTTCGTTTGCAAATATTTTCTCCCATTCTGAGGGTCGTCTTTTCGTCGTCTTGTTTATGGTTTCCTTTGCTGTGCAAAAGGTTTTAAGTTTCATTAGGTGCCATTTATTTATTTTTGTCTTTATTTCCATTTCTCTAGGAGGTGGGTCAAAAAGAGAAAAACAAATACCGTATGCTAACACATATACATGGAATCTTTAAAAGAAAATGGTTCTGAAGAACCTACGGGCAGGATGGGAATAAAGATGCAGACATAGAGAATGGACTGGAGGATACGGGGAGGGGGAAGAGTAAGCTGGGATGAAGCGAGAGAGTGGCATGGGCATATACACACTACCAAATGTAAAATAGACAGCTAGTGGGAAGCAGCCACATAGCACATCAGCTCGGTGCTTTGTGACCACCTAGAGGGGTGGGATAAGGAGGGTGGGAGGGAGACGCAAGAGGGAGGGGATATGGAGGTATATGTATATACATATAGCTGACTCACTTTGTTATACAGCAGCAACTAACATAACAATGTAAAGCAATTATACTCCAATAAAGATGTTAAAATAAATAAATAAAAATTTTTTTAAAATGTGTACCAAACATTAAAAGATAGTCTGTCTTAGAATAATTTCGCATCACACCAGATTGCAAACAAATGAGTCCTTGTACCAAGGTGCATTGGTAATTCCTGGATATGAATGACATTAAAATGAAAGTACTGACTGAGAAGGCAGACCCATTGAATTCTCCAGGCTGGATATACAGCTTGCTTCATTGTTAATGGCACTTGTGTGTTCACACAGTTGGAGAAACAGACTTCTGTTCGTTTGTTGCTTTCAGTATGGAATACTTTATACCAATAAATTTTAAAATGTTAAAAAAAAGACAACACTTTAAGTGTGATGGAGTAGGAAAAGTTATTGATCTACAACAGTAGAAAAGGATTACAATACGTACGTAAATATGAGACAGTGTGTATTAGTAAGTATGAAGTTAGGAGCATATCACACACACAATAGTTGAATTCTTCTCTTACCACTGATTACTAGCTATAAAAGATAAGGGCATTTTTATTCTTATAGCAATATATAATTATACTAGTTTGAAAGCTTTTCATTATTCTTCTTTTTCATTCACAAGGAGTTTGCAGGAGAAGCAAATCCTTAATGTGTTTAAATCAATGTGTGTGTATTCTTTCCTGTCATTTCTAGAAATCTGGAGGTTCCCTGGGGTTAAAAAAAAACAACGCTGGGGTCATCTGAGGACCAAGTGAATGGCTCCTAGACCTTTTGGAATATCTTGGATTCTTGCAGTTAACGAAGGAAGGGGGCCTAATTTAACCTACTGGAGTGTATACTTTAGCAGGATCTGAAAGTAAAATAAATAAATTTGACTTCTTAATATTAAACTGTAAAACGAACATATTGAAGGAAGAAAGAGCTGTAAAGTTGCCCTCACGAGACAGAATGGCTTGCTGACCAAGGCAGAGTTGTGTGAAACCTGGTTATACTAACGTTACACATAAAAGCCCTAAGATGAGGACAGCGGTAGAGGCACAGTGGTGGCGATGGCGACAGTGATGGGGGTGCCCGAGAAGCTCCCTGAGGAGCCATCCAAGCAGCAACCGAGGGGGCTCTCCGGCTCACAGCTCAAGCCTCATGAGGAGGCCCACAGCGGGATGTGAGAGCAGCCCAGACCACAGCTAGCTGAGGCTCGGAAGAGCATGGTGATCAGCCTGGGTACGTCCCCTAACCGGTGGTCACTCATCACTGAGTTTTCAACAGTTGTCAACAACATAAAGAAATGACTAATATAATTTTCACAAATCCCAATTTATTTAATCCCAAAGGATAATCTGTATTCTAAGATTGTGTCACCCTACTTTTTTCACATTAAAATGTTCATTCTTTTACCAAAGGATGGAATTAGGGCTGAGAAACTTTTTTTTTAAATGAGCTTACTTGGCAAATTAAAAGTTGGAAGTCCTCAGTCAGGTCTCCAATTTTATTTTATTTTTCATTTTATAGACCTAGTAAGTACTTGTCAACCTAAACCAAGGCCAGAATAGTAAGTAGGAATTAACCAGGCAAAAATTTGGGCAGAGGGAGCAGCAGGTACACAGGAACAAGGATGAGGAAAAACATGTCTTTTAAGTCTGCACTTCCAGAACTCTGGAAAGAAAGAGCAGAAGATAAGGCCAAGGAAGTACACAGGCCTCCAAGAGACCCTGCAGGCCATTTAGGGGCTGCAATTTGATCCAAGAGGCAATGAAAGGTCGTTAGTTCAACTTTTTAGTATATGCTATTTACAAATCTTTTCCAAGGGTATATTTACTTGGTCAGATAATTTTTCAGACTCAAAACTACATCAAATTCCCATTAAGTTTTCTCTAAATCAAGTTAGTTGTAGCTATGGTCTACTGAGATTATTTTGTTTCCTGATCAATCATACAACATATCTACTATTTCTTTCCACGTTATGTCTTCTGGAAATATGACTATACCCTTTGAATGTTTTTCCTATGTCCTCTTTAAAAATGGAGATTAGTTACAGGAGGACGCGCTTCTAAAACTTTATAAATTTGGACATCAAAATATTAACCAGCATCCTCTGAATATAATTCTTTAACCAATGACTAATCCACCTAACAATTTTTATTTATATTTCTTTACCATGTCTACACTGAGACACCCTGGCAACAGTATCTTGCTGAAGTTTATATACCCTACTAGGTATCTAAGTAATTTTTTCACAATGCCTCTAAGGCCAAAAGAAATACCTAGCAGTCCCATTCATTAAATAGTTAGGTCAAAACTGCTTAACAGTATGGTCTACACTTTGTCCAACAGATGTAGTTACGTTTCCCTAACAAATGTAAAATATCCAGGGCACTGTGAGGCTCCAACTTGCCTCAGCACACAGGTTGAGAACTATAGCTCTAGCCTACAACCCTAAAAAGAAATAAAGGTTGTATCTGACAAAATCCATTCTCTGTGAATTTACGCTGCATTGCACAACACAGGGCTTCCCTGGTGGCGCGGTGGTTGAGAGTCCGCCTGCCGATGCAGGGGACACAGGTTCGTGCCCCAGTCCGGAAGGATCCCACATGTCGCGGAGCGGCTAGGCCCGTGAGCCGAGTGGCTAGGCCCATGAGCCATGGCCTCTGAGCCTGTGCGTCCGGAGCCTGTGCTCCGCAACGGGAGAGGCCACAGCAGTGAGAGGTCCGGGTACCGCAAAAAATAAAAAATAAAAAGCCATACAAATTATATAGTAGATAGATCAATAATACCAGAGGATAAAACCCCACACAAAAATCTTCTTTACCATTTCATAAAAAACATGCATATGTGGAAGTCTGTAGCCCTCTTTTCTCAAAAATGGGAAGTATTTACAATTAGCTTAACACTTCAGACTACTGTACATAATTCATAATGTTAATTTGTATTCCCCTCAATTATTTACCTCTAGCTCAGCTACCTTTTAATAATCTTTTATAATTGGGAGAGCCATAAAGAGTTTTATCACACTCAAAAGTATTCTCTGTAAAATGACAAATTACATTTTCACAAAATGGTATCTGCTCTTAACTGGAACGTTTTTATAGAAGAAATGGGAAGATCTAAAAAAACATATGCATACTTTAAAAAAAGGAACTATGCAAGTTAAAACTATTGACTGCAATCATATTAAATTAATTAATGGAAGAAAAGAAAAAACCCAATGAACAGGATCATAGTGAGCCATCAATCAGAGATGAACATGCAGAGAAAGACAAAGAGAAAAGTGGGGTTCTAAGTAATGAGGAAAAGGAAGACCCAAAGGCATGTCTTGGAGTTCTGCATAGAATGTAATTCCATTTTAAATATATTCTGATTTATTTAAAGCAAGTGGATAAAGTTATTACAACCATATGTTGGTTCAAAGTTATCACATGTTCCTTTAAATAGTATGTGCAGCCTATAACATATATAAGCTACAAAAATCAGGCTGAAGAGCTACATGCTTTCCATATGTAATCAAGGGCCAAATTTGCACATAAGAAAATGACTTCATCCAGAAGGCAAAAAATATTCTATGTATAATGGAGAAAACACCCAGAAGGTGACGGTATTAGGCTGTACATGGCCTAAGACAAATTTACAAGCAAGGGTGAATTTATGGATCATCACGGTCCAACCTGTTTATATTGGCTTGTTTAGACACGGCCTTCAATCTTTTCCAAGTTTCTCTAAGAGCATCGGCATCAGAGGAATGGTGATGACCTGCAGCCCCCTTGGGAAATCCTGGATGTACTCCAGGTGGGATTCCTCTGCCAATAAACACACACGATGGCTTCCATTACTTTCTCTAAAGCAAAGCACAAGCAACTTCTGCAGAACATGCCATACCTTTCTGGAAGCCTTCGGCCATGTCTTTCTCCTTTCCACCTAGCTTCATTATCTTCTGCTCTTTGTTGCTGCATCTGATCAAAAATGGCATGGTAATGTTCATACTGTCCTCGAGAAGAAAAAGATGATGGAGCCACAGCCCCTCCACTGCCAAAAAGGGGAGCCTAGGAATCAAACAAAGAGCTCTCACATGCTTGTCTCACAAGACCTAAAAGGTCTGTACTACCCTTAAAAGAAAAAAGTAAATTTCAACACTTGACTCTTAAAAAACAATTACCTAATTTAACATGTTTTCCTACTATATTATAACCATTAACAATCAAAAACTAGTATACTTTGTTACTAACAATAAAGCTTAATTCAATGTAACTAAAATATAAACTATCACTAAATTTATGTAACTATGAAAAAACTTGGTCTTAATTAACAAGTTTTGAAACAAGTTTCTAGTATACGTTTTATGTGATCCCATCCTATTAAGTTTAAATATGTATAGCTTATAAATAAAACAGAGCCTGCTTTTGTAACACTCAAAATTATATCTAACGAAAACATACGGCATTTAACATACCCCAAATCCAATTCAACAAGCAATGAGGATATAAACACCACTGAAACATACTCTAGGTATAAATAAAAGAAACAAAACAACATACCAATCCTTCAGCAGTTGACAAACTGGGAAACAAAGTATAAAGCTTGAAAAACATTACATTTCCTGTAGTAAATGAGTGGCAACAGGCACACTGTAAAGTAGTAAAAACTGAGCAAATTTACAAAATAGAAAAAAAAATTATGAGAAATAAAAATTCCAAAAAAAAAAAATCACTGGAGAAAAATATTATTCAACCCAGTCTTGAAAGCAATGTAACAAAGAAAGAGTAAATGATTAAATATGAACCATGGTATTAAAGTAAAACTTAAAGTAAAAATAAGCACTGGAGGTATATGTTTAGGTGTTGGCAGTAGGGGGAAAAAGGACACAGGAAGACGTAAGAAGTTAACTAGAAAGAAGGCAGATAGGAAGCGTTATTTGGTCCTAAAAGGTCATCACAGGTAACTACCCTCAGCTGTGCAAGTTCATAGTATAAACAACAGAAAGCACGCATACATTTTCTAGCAGGAAAGTGCACTAAGACAGTTTCTTAGAAGGTTGGTGGGACTTCCCTGGTGGTGCAGTGGTTAAAAATCCACCTGCCAATGCAGGGGACAAGGGTTCGAGCCCTGGTCCAGGAAGATCCCATGTGCCATGGAGCAACTAGGCCTGTGCGCCACAACTACTGAGCCTGCGCTCTAGAGCCTGCGAGCCACAGCTACTGAGCCCACGTGCCACAACTACTGAAGCCTGTGCGCCTAGAGCCCGTGCTCTGCAACAAGAGAAGCCACCGCAATGAGAAGCTCATGCACTGCAACAAAGAGTAGCCCCCGCTCACCACAACTAGAGAAACCCCGTGTGCAGCAACGAAGACCCAACGCAGCCAAAAATAAACAAACAAATAAAGTTAAAAAAAAAGGTCAGTAAGTCAAATTACGCACGATAAGCAAGAATAAGAGAGAGAACAAAGTAGAGGAACTAATTAAAAGGCATGCTGCTCTGACACCAAGCCAAGAAGCCTGCGAGCAAAGAAAGGCAATCAGAGAAGTCAACGGTGAAGGGAGCTGTGGGTTCTCTGCGGAAATAACAAAGGATGAAGGCAAAGCCATAGGACGCAGCCTCAGAACACACACACCCAAGCGCACGGAAAACTCACAGAAAACAGAGGTGTCAGGATGAGCACTGAGTAAGTGTAGAATGTTACAGAGGTCAGGGGGCAAGAACTGCAATGCAGAGAGGAAATAGGAACCTCAAAGGCAGAGGCCAGCAGCACCAAAAGGAAGACAAAGTGACATGACTCAAGTGGAGGGGCAGCACTCAAACACGGATGAGAGCAGAAGCCAGAACGCTGCCAGGAAAGGGAGAAGAGCTTCCAGGTGGCGGCATCCTGAGGAAGAAGTCTGGCTAAGGAAAATACGAGAACCAAATAAAAGGCATTTCAGTGTACCCAACGAGGTAAAACTTGTGTTCACATCTTGACGCAAGAATTGTGTACAGTATTATAAGAAAGCCTGATTTTAAAAAAAGTCAGCTCAAGATAAAAATAGAAAACTGATTCAAGATGCTTGAATAGCAAGAGATGAAAGTTGCTAGAAATAGGGAAGATACCTCATTAGGCAGGAAACTCCATCAAGGTGATTTTCATATACATTTTCAAAATGTGCATCTCAGGGCAAGATTATCAGAATCACAATTCTGGTAAAAGGTGATCATACCTCCCACGAGACTGGTTCCTCGAGTTTAGTCTGGCGCTAATATCAACTTAGGGTTGAGTGTTCTAAGGTTTCTCTCTAGCAAAATCAAATGTATGTACATATCTCTGAAGATACCTATACTCAAAATAATGCTGAAAACACTGTACTAGAATACTGAAACAACAGGATCTTTTAAACATGACTTTATTCACCAATTATAAGCGCAGGTTGATGTTCTGACAAATACAGACACTCTTGGAACCACTACCACAATCGAAAGCACATCCATCACCCCAAAAGGTCCCTCATGTTCCTTTGCAGCCAACACCCCCTCCCTCCTTCTAGCAAACACTGATCTGCTCTCTGTCACAGAAATTGGATTTGCCTTTTCTTATCATTTCATATAAATGGATTCATACAATATGTGTACTCTCGTGCCTGGCTTCTTTCACTCAGTATGCTGTTGACTGACCCATGCTGTTGCATGTATTAATAAGCTATTCCTTTTCAATGCTGAGTAGCATTCCAATATATTGTCAAACAACAGATACACTCTTATATATAATGGTTATCTATATAATCAAACTATATATGTGGAACATTTCATAATTTTTCTAGAAACACACTTTCATAAGAGATATATCAAAAATGGATAAAGCACTGAAAATCAACTACAATTTAAAAAAAGAAAAAAATACCTATCAAAAGAACAAAAAAGAAAAAATGGATAAAGCAAAAAGTCCCAGATTTTGCAGATACTAAGTAATCAAGGACAGTAGGTTATTTATACTGTGCATAATGTCTTGGTATTTAGAGGTATATAATAATAGATTATTGACTTTGAAATATTTCCCTTAATGTTTAGTTTTTGTTTTATCTTTCTTTTGGGGAATCTCCTTAATTTGATTCACATTTTTACTGAGCTTCCAGGTCCTTATCAACTGTACAGAAATCAAACAGCTGAAGAAGTTAAATATTTCAAACGTCATAGGGTATAAGTACAGAAACCAACATAGACTTTGCTTTACGTCATGGAAAATAAATTGTTTTATTAATCCTCACAGAAAGCAGTATAGAAGTTTATGAAGCGAAACAGAAACCTATTAAGCACATAGTATCTCACACTGTTGAGAAACTATAATCAAACATTGGTAAAACTGGACTTTAGGATTAAATATGGCTTTAGACATCATAGGGAAA